TGCTAAAAAACAGCACAAAAACATTTCCACTCGGCAAATGAAAAATTTCAACGAAGAAAACTTTCTTAGTGATCTTCAACAAATCGACTGGAAAAGCATTGTTTCAAATACCGATGATATCAACCTCATCGTTGAGCAATGGACAAATATGTTCTCGTTGATTCTAGAAAAACATGCTCCTTTACGCTGCAGGAGGGTTTCAGAAAAGTTTTGCCCCTGGTTGACGAAGGATTTCAAATGTTTGTCTGCTACAAGAGACAGGTTGAAATTGGCAGCTGTGCGCTCAAAGTCCAAAATTTTCATGGATGCTTATAAACAAATGATAAATAGGGTCAATAGATTAAACAAAGATTTAAAGCGCGACTATTTTACGAATAAGATTGCCCTTTCCCAAGGTGATCCTTAAAACACTTGGAAAACCATTAACATGGTTCTCAATAAGAAATCAAAAACGACTCAAATTCAGTCACTTGATGTTGATGGTAAGCATGTTACCGATAATAATGCTGTTGCTCAGACAATGAATGATTTCTTTTGTGATATTGGCAAATCTCTTAGTGACAAAATTCCACAGAAAGCCAACCCCCTTGTTGAAGATAAGCTGGAAGTGAACCCTGAAAATTTACAGTTTAAATTACAAGCCTTTGATGTTCCTCAGATAAAAAAGGTTTTTTGCAAATTCAAAACGTCCAAGGGTTTCGGTCCTGATGGCATTGCTAACCATTTCCTAAAGATCGCATTCTCTGTCATTGCAGAATCTCTCTGTGACATTTTTAACCTCTCAATTGCCACTGGAGTTTTTCCTGAAAATTGGAAAACTGCAAGGGTTGCCCCAATCTTTAAAAGTGGAGAAAAAAACAATCGTTCCAATTATAGACCGATTTCTGTGCTCCCATTTCTGGCAAGACTCTTTGAGAAATTGATTTACAACCAATTATATGATTATCTAGACAAAAATAAACTTCTGTATTCTGGCCAATCAGGTTTTAGAGCTCTGCATTCCACTGTAACTTGCTTGCTTTCTGGCACTAATGACTGGCACATTAATATTGAGCGTGGAAAATTTACAGGAAATATTTTCATTGATTTGAAAAAGGCTTTTGATACTGTTGATCATGCCATACTTATTCAAAAGCTATCTAAGTACGGAATTCAGGGTCTTGAGCTTCAATGGTTCAAATCATATCTTAGCAGTAGGCAGCAATTCACTAAGGTTAATGGAGTGCAATCTGACATCGGAAGCATCAACTGTGGTGTCCCACAAGGTTCTTGTTTAGGTCCACTACTCTTCCTAATCTATATAAATGATCTGCCATTCGCCTTGAAAAACTGCAAAGTTACGATGTACGCCGACGATACTAGCATTGAGGATCTAACTGAAACACTCAACAACGAATTGAAATGTTTGAAAGAATGGCTTCAGGGCAATAAATTGTCTTTGAATGTAACCAAGACTCAGGCAATGGTAATCGGATCTAGACCAAATCTGAAAAAGATTGGTGAAAACACTGTGGGATCACCTGCATTCGTTATCGATGATTCCCCTGTAGAAATCGTCGACAGTATTAAGTATCTTGGTGTCCAAGTTGACCAATACCTCGTGTGGGACGAGCAAATTAAATCTGTTCAAGCCAAAGTCTCCCGCTCGTTAGGTTTTTTAAAATATGCAAAGAAATTTTTGCCAAAAAATGTACTTTGCAAATTATATAGAGGTATTGTAGAGCCACATTTTCGGTACTGCTGTACTGTGTGGGGGAGCTGTGCAGAGTTCCGACTGGTTAAGCTTCAAAAATTGCAGAATCGAGCCGCTAGAATTATTACAAATAGCAGCTACGATGCTCCTGCTGAAGCTTTGATTACAGAGTTAAGATGGCCAACTGTAAGGGATATGATCAGAAGTGAGACTGCAACAACTGTATATAAATCTGTTAATGGTCTCGCGCCTGATTATCTCTCGAATTTATTTGTTAGAAATTCTGAACGCAATTGTATCAACCTTAGAAATGCCGAAACTGACTTGCTAGTGCCATTCATGAAAACTAGTAAAGGACAGAAAGCGTTCGCATTTCGTGGAGCAAAAATCTGGAATGATCTCAGCCGCGAGGCCAAGCAAGCTCCCTCTTTATCTTCTTTTAAGAACAGGATAAAGGGTTTTTTGTAAATTTATTGCAAATAGTTGTAAATAAATTATTTATGATTGTAATTAGTTTCCTTTTTTTGTTATTAATTTTAGTAGATTTTTTAATTTGTAAGTTTTTGGCACGGCCCCCTGAAAATCAGTCATGACTGACGGGGCTACCGTGCATAAATAATTTTAAAATGAAATGAAAAATGAAGAGAAATGAAAAATGAAATGAAAAGGAGACTGGGTCCAGGTACCCCAGTGTAAAAATAGCATTCAGGGGTAAATTTGAGGTGGGGTCTGACCCTTATCGTTCTCAACACACCAAACTACGTACCTCTACCAAATTTTTAGCTCTGTATCTTAACTTGGAGTTGAGTTATGATGAATGCCCCTCAATGGACTGGGTCCGACTACCCCATTCTAAAAATAGCATTCAGGGGTAAATTTGAGTTGGGGTCTAACCCTTATCGTTCTCAACACACCAAACTACGTACCTCTACCAAATTTTTAGCTCTGTATCTTAATTTGGAGTTGAGTTATGATGAATGCCCCTTAAATGGACTGGGTCCGACTACCCCAGTCTAAAAATAGCATTCAGGGGTAAATTTGAGTTAGGGTCTGACCCTTATCGTTCTCAACACACCAAACTACGTACCTCTACCAAATTTTTAGCTCTGTATCTTAATTTGGAGTTGAGTTATGATGAATGCCCCTCAATGGACTGGGTCTGACTACCCCATTCTAAAAATAGCATTCAGGGGTAAATTTGAGTTGGGGTCTGACCCTTATCGTTCTCAACACACCAAACTACGTACCTCTACCAAATTTTTAGCTCTATATTTTAATTTGGAGTTGAGTTATGATGAATGCCCCTCAATGGACTGGGTCCGACTACCCCAGTCTAAAAATAGCATTCAGGGGTAAATTTGAGTTAGAGTCTGACCCTTATCGTTGTAAACACACCAAACTACGTACCTCTACCAAATTTTAGCTCTGTATCTTAATTTGGTGTTGAGTTATGATGAATGCCCTTTAAATGGACTGCGTCCGACTACCCCAGTCTAAAAATAGCACTCAGGGGCAAATTTGAGTTGGGGTCTGACCCCTATCTTTTTCAGCGCATCAAACTGGGTAGGTGTGCGAAATTTCATACTGGTATCACGATTTGCATGATCAATGTTGTAAAAGCCTCCACTAACAATGAAAAACTCCTTTCAACGACCACCCAATGAGCATCTTTGATATTTTTTAGCTGAGTTAAAGGTAAATACGTAGATCACCAGATATTTTCCCTTATAAGGAAATTGGTTCATAGGCTTCCAAATTGCTATTTTTAGGCAAAAACATTCAAAAACATAGACAACAAAAATAATGAAAATTCCATTCAAACTAGCCTCTTGCTATATTTCTTGGCTGAATGAATGGCAAAAACGTGGATTACCAGACATATGCTCAAATAAAGAAATTGGGTCATATGTCCCCAAAATTGCGAATTTATAGCAAACATTTTTCAATAAATTTACAATAAAATATGCTCTAAACGAGCACCCATCCAGCCTTTAGTTACATTTTTCAGGTCAATTTTTAGCAAAACGTAGATTACCAAATTCGGATCATAGGTCACCAAAATTGCGAATTTGAAGCAAAAACTTTTCAACACTTGCTAAAAAAATTTGCTTCAAACGAGCATTCAACCAGTCTCTTGTTAATGGCAAAAACTTATAATACCAGATATTTCCCCTATTTGGAAATTAGGCAATATCCCCCCAAAAATGCAAATTAAAATGCAAAAAAAATTCAAAATATCTACAATAAGTCTTTTCAAAGAAGCACTCGACTAGTTTTCTGTCATAAAATTTGAGTTATCTATTTTGTTCCCTTTTTTCAAGATCTAGGCAAAATTTGCCAAAGGAGAACGTACCGTAAGTCTTCGAATTAGCCCCCTGGGGTCTCATTCATTTTTTATATTTTTGGATGGGGGCTTATTCGAGAGGGGAGGCTTATACGAGAGGGGGCTTCTAAAATTATTTTAGACATTAAAAAGACATTATTAAAAGACCTCGTTTATTCCAGTAGGAATTTCTTTATGAGCATCAAATTAATTGCTACCAGAAGTATGAATTTGTTGCAGTAATTCAATAAAACGTCATAGGCAACCTTAGGTGGTAAAGATCATCAAATGGAAGGGGTCCAGTTCGAGAATTTACAGTAGCAGTAGGGGCTTTTTCGAGGGAGGGGGGCTTATTCGAGGGGGGGCTTTTTTGAGGGGGGGCCAATTCAAGGATTCACGGTACTTGGATTGCCCCATAGTAAAGATCATTACAAAGAGAACAAGTAAAGGCACAGAAAAAAATTTACCACATTGGTTGTTCATAAGGATAACAGTGTAAAGAAGAAGAAAAATAAAAATGTGTATTGGTCAGACATAGAGGTGTCTTTTTTCGTGATCCTTCTCCAACAAAGTGAAATACACTCTTAACAGTCCTGCAATTTCCTACGGTGATGTAGTTCAATTCTGAGTGTGAACTAAGCATAAAAACGTCTGTTTGTGTCTGTTCTCATATTTTTAGTTCAACTGCATTGAGGTTTTGGTCATTTTATTGTTCAAAGGTCTAAAATATTCAAATGTGGATTAAACAAAGGAAACAAAACCTAAAACAGAGAGCAGACCTTTTCTTTACAATACTGACTCTGCAATACATTAAACTGAATCCACAGGTGAAACAGCGTCAGCAAACATTTTCCACGACTGGGGACTGATAGGAAATGCGACCACCCTTCCTTTAATTTACTTGTCCTCTCAGATAAAAACGGATGGCATTGACCTTGCTATAGGTAAATGTTAGACAGAAGGAGCTCGAAATACAGAGGTGTATTGTCAGCATGAATGTTTTCATCATTATGGCGAAATGCATTAGTGCAAGCCACACAGCATTCAAACTAAAATCTACATCTATTTCGGAAAATTATTGTCCATGTTTCTATACAAATAATTTAATACATGCCTTGATGTTCTTCTCGCTACTTGAAGATCAGAATTGACCGCAGGTTAGATGTCTGGTCGGTCTCCTTTAGGTAGCTTATCATAGTCTTTTGTGGAATAGAGCTAAACACAGAAAATAAAAAAATTAAAATGTATGGTAATGTTACAAATATCAACAAGGTTTCAGACACGATTATATTTCTTTCCCTTATTCCCTCATTACGTGGACCCCTCTCCAGCCAGTCAGATTAACGCAAATATGATATAAACGCTGTGTTCTCCCTTTCACTTCCATTTTGGAATAGGTTTAAATTCTTCCCTTTGTATCAAAACAGGAATGGCTTGCATCTTTCTGTGTGTATTACACATCAACACTGAACCTCTCAAACTATTTCAAAACTTTTTTAAAACAAACTTGTCATCGTTTGGCTTTGTTTTTTGGCATACCGTAAAAACAAGACACGAAGACCCTAAGACCCAGGACTCTTAAATATAGACATTAAAAAAGACCTGGAGCATCAGGAGTGTCTTCACCCCGATTAGACATTAGTTTATTACAGTTGATTGTCATCATTGCACCCTGAGGACACATCAACTGGCAAATGCGCTTTTCCACCAACTCCAGCGCTCTTCCACATATTAGAGAGGTAACAAAGCTAACGCTAAAGTTAACTTTATAATCATGAGATCATAATACGCCCACTCGTCACAGGCACATAATCAGACAGGTGAGCAAGCAGAATGGCACGCTAGACGAGTGGGCAAATAAATGGCTGCATTCTGTACAGTACCTTCGTAAAATCTAAAAAAATAAATTGCAAAGTCTTCCCTCGTTTGACAGAATCATCAAATACGTGGTGTCTTTGTCTGTTTACGTTGATGTCAACGAATCAAGATAAAAAGAAACGAGGTGAGTTGAAAAAAGAACTAGCGTTTAGCCCAACGTTAACTCACTGATGCTAGCATTCCTAAAAAATGGAGTAGAAAGCTAACGTCAGGGTTCACACCATTTGAATTTGACTGTTCACATGACACGCTTGGTCCTCCCCCTTTCAACTTCACAGTACATATCATATACAGAGGGGTTCATAACTAGACAATAGTTGATGACACAAGAAGGTTAAGGTTACAGTTAGCGTTGCTGTGATTAAACTCTCTATTATCCACATCAGTTGCTGCTTTCAAATGAGTGTGACATAGAGTCAGACAGCGAGAAGGAGGTTAAGAGCATGTGCACGGTAACTTCTTTAGTTGCTGCTTGTAGCTTTTTCAATTTTTTTTATACTGCCCTCCTTTGTCTGAAAAGTATGACATGGTTGGCAAAGTATAGGGTGTTCAAACAGAGGTTTTCTATAATAACCTTTTATTAATTTTGTGCGTATTCAAGAACATACTGTATATACCCCAATGTAAGAAAATTGAAAAAATAATAATGTAAGAAACAATAAGAAAGTATTTCAATCGACTAATGCAAAAACACTGCCTTTTATGTATTGTTTTTGGTTGAACCTTTTGAAAAAAAGTTGAACCTCCTGAAACTCGAATATATAAAAAAATAGACAACATGGTTCTGGAACTCATATCTAATAACAGAGCTCGCCTTAAATAATTCACCTCATCAAAATAAATTCAATGAATAAATTATTTGAGAAAAAATATTTTTTTTTTAAATTCAATAGCAAGGGTTTTCGGATTAATTTTTTAAGATGAAGATTTTGTGTAAAGTTTTCAGGAAAATATCAACAACAGTTCTTCGGCAACCATTCTAAAAGGAAACAAGAAGCAATGACGAGAAGAAAATCTAAACTTCCTTGCCGCTTTCTGACTCGATGACGAACTTCTTTGAAGGGAGCAGCTGATGTGGAAAATGTGCGGAAGAATGTTGGAGTAGGCGCAAAAGCGCATTTGACAGTTGATGTGTCTTTATGGTACGATGATGGCAGTCAACAGTGATCTACTATGGTCTTATCTGGGTGAAGACCCTTTCTGTGTTCTGGGTAATTTTGTTGTTAGTACTTGAGGATCCTGGGTTTTAGGGTCTCAGAGTCTGGTTTTTACAGTATGCCTTTTTTCTGCCTACAAATTACTTTAAGGAGCCACATGCCTCCATCTAGCACGGTGTCTGGCACTTGTTTTCAGGTGAAAGATTTGACTGAGCGTCTATTTTCGTTGCTTGTTTTTAGCGCATGGTCGTCAAAAACAAAGTTTTACACAATTTTAAATAGATTTATTGCTCCTGGTTGCATTTACTATCTGTATATCTGCCTATTTAAAATTTTTGTAAGCTCTGGAAAGCCAGATCAATCTTCAAAATTAGTGTCATTAGGGCTACTAACTGAGCAGCTTTCGTTTACATGCCCAACAATACAAACGACATTCTTAGAGTTCAAAACGACATTCAATTTTTTCTTGCAGTTCAAAATTGTTTCTATGTTTCAAATTCTGCTGATTAAGTTCAACTGAAAATGGCAAGCGAATTATTTGACAAGACAAAAGACATATAAGACATAAGAATCTTCATTTCAACCAACAAGAAATTACAAGAAATTACAATCAGTCATAAAGTAAAACTAATGAAAATAGTAAATTAAGTAAAGTAAAACTAATGATGAAAGAAAACTCAATTAGTTGAATTTTAAATGAGATGCTAAATTGAACAAGGTAAGTAATCAATTCATTCGTTATAGATAAACCAAATAGTTAAGAAGGGATCTAATAGAAGAGTAAATTCATTGTCACATTTTTGAAGAGAGGGTCGCTTTTTAGAGTATTAAGAGCTTTAGTACCAGTGTATTGCAGAGAGCTTAGTCTATATGAAGTTGTGTTGCATTTGTTAAGATTGGAGTCTTTTAGCAGATTAAAGACGAGTCAGTTGATTGTGCACATTTTTAATTCTATGAAAAATCCAGTTTTATTCATTTGGCAGTTCATTCTTACCAAAGTAATGCGAAAATATATATTGTTGAAATCTGGAAATATCATCTAGCTTCAATATTTTTGAGCCTTTGAGATGCTGCGTTTTTGTAGTAAACAAATCCGGTCATAAAATGCATTCATACGCAAGGTGTGAGTTGAAAATAATGTGGTTAAGGTGTTGTACGGCTCAACAACCAAATGCTCAGTCACAAGACAGTCATCGTGGACTTTTTTCTAAACAAATACATCTCTTGGCATTTTCAGGGTACTACTTTCCGTTTTATCAGGGTCTATGAATTTACAAAAACCTCGTTCTTGTCGCAACGACCCTTTTGCAAAACTTTGTTGTGAACTAACTGTTCACGAACGCAGCGCTTTGGTGATTCCCGCCAAATATGCACAGATCGGAAGCGCACTAATTGGCTTTTTCCTAATCCTCTTTCTCGTCCTCCTCTCCAATCTAAACCCCTTTATGTTCTTAGTTGTACAACGGGAAACAGTCCTACCAAAGCCAATATGTCGAAACAAAGATTCAGAAAAATTCTAACCCTAATCCTAACCCTGACCCAAAACTCTGACCCTAAAACCTTTACCCTAAAGCCCTGACCCCTTACCCTAAATCCCTAACCCTAACCCTATAACCCTAACACTAAAACCCTTTAAACCCCAACTCATAAACCCTGACCCTATCCTTAAAACCCCAGATCTATGAGCCTAACCCTGACCATGAAATTTTAAACCCTGACCATAAGCCCTGAACCTAAAACTCTGTACCTAAACCCTAAAACCTTAAACCTGACCCTAAATCCTAACCCTAACCCTAACCCTAACCCTAAAACCCTAGCTCGAACACCCTAATGCTAAAACCCTGACCCTAAAACCCTGACCTTAGAACCCTATCACTCAAACCCTAATACCCTGACCCTAAAACCCTGACCATAAAACCCTGACTCTAGAACCCTGACACTGAGACACTGACCCTTAAACCTGAACCCTAAATTTCTTACCCTAAAACCCTTGCTCTATAAATCTAACCCTGAAATCATCATCAGGTACCATCTTCTATCAGAAGGTTGGCTACCATGCCCCTCCAACTATCCAAAAATCTGTGTTTTGGTTTGTTGTCATGGTCATAGATAAAACTAAGGGGCTAATAGTAGAGATGGGCCCCCAGAACCACCTCTACAGTGTATTTAACGGGACTCCATCCCTCTTTCCACCCGAAGTCATTGACACCTGGAGTCGTAGCTCATCCGTCCTCATTGCTGGTCTTCCGCCGAGTTAGCGGTTGGCCATCACTCGTAGCCCTGAGCTAGGGAACCCTGCCATGTGGTACCAGTCGGGTCAGGCTGGACCTGTAAGCTAAAGGAGGGAAGGGACGCTTTAAATCCCCATTCATGTCCTGTCGGAGCATGTCACTGCCCTGGGCTCGTAGCCCTGAGCTAGGTAACCCTAAAATACATACCCTAAAACCCTGACCCCAAAAACCCTGACCCTTATACCCTGACCCTGAAACCCTCACCCTAAATCCCTAATCCTGAAATCCTAACCCTTACCAATACAGATCATAGACTAATCATAACAGACATACACATCAACAAAACAAGCAACTTTAAGCCAAAAAAGAAGAAAGAACTAGTCAAACAAATCAACAGAGACAACTTTGCCAATCAAGAAATGTCAGAAAGATATAAGGAAAAAGTGAAAGCTATATTAACAGAGAAAAAAGAAGATATAAATGCAGAAAACAGATGGAACATTGTCAGCCAAGCATGTCATCAAGCTGCAGAAGAATCTATATGATTTATAGGAAAGAAAGAAGACAGAAACCAAAACAACGAAGAAATCAGAAAATTATCAGAACTACAACATAAAATCAGACTAGATATAAATTCAACAAAGGATAGCACAACTAAAGAAACACTGAGGAAAGACAGAAACAAAATACTCAACACAATACACAAACTGAAGAAAGAAGACACAGAAAGAAACTTAACCCAACAAATAGAAGACATTGAAAAGACAGGAGATGAAACCAAGAAAATGTTCAAAGCAATAAAATACCTGAAAATGGAAGGAACAAAGAAGACCAAACTTCAAGTAAACACAGCAGATGGAAAAACAACTTCAACAACAAGAAAAATTGAGGAAGTCACAAATCACTTCAAACAATGCTTCTACAATGAAAACTTAGGCCCAGATCAAAA